AACCATTTTTTAATTGTGAAATGTTGATGTTATTATTGAACCCTTATTTATATTGAAGTGTTCATTGCCTGAAGGACCTTACACATGAATTGCCCCATATGGGGTTTGAACCGACGACCTCGGGATTACCGGCACGGTGCTCTAACCTGCTGAGCTAACTCACCTACCTTACAAACTGTTGAGTTTCCATGGATTTAAGAAGAACTTACATGATCTTACCACAATGAAGATTTGATAAAAGTGCTTATATTCTAATGTTTTTCAAAACATACATAATATTTTATTTTCCAGAGATTTTGTATTTTGAAGTGTTGATTTTATTTTTGAACCATTTTTAATTTTTGAAATCTTATTTATTTTGAAGTGTTGATTTTATTTTTGAACCATTATTAATTTTATTTTTGAAACCTTATTTATTGTAAAGTGTTGATTTTATTTTTGAACCATTTTGAATTTTTGAAACCTTATTTATTTTGAAGTGTTGATTTTATTTTTGAAACCTTATTTATTGTAAAGTGTTGATTTTATTTTTGAACCATTTTTTAATTGTAAAGTGTTGATTTTATTTTTGAAACCTTATTTATTTTGAAGTGTTGATTTTATTTTTGAAACCTTATTTATTTTGAAGTGTTGATTTTATTTTTGAACCATTTTTAATTTTTAAGTGTCGATTTTATTTTTGAAACTTTGTTTATTGTACAGTGTTGATTTTATTTTTGAACCCTTATTTGTTTTGAAGTGTTGATTGTCTGAAAGACCTTACACATGAATTGCCCCATACGGGGTTTGAACCGTTGACCTCAGCATTACCAGCACGGTGCTCTAACCTGCTGAGCTAACTCACCTACCTTACAAACAGCTGAGTTTCCATGGATTTAAGAACTTACATGATTTTACCACAATGAAGATTTGATAAAAGTGCTTATATTCTAATGTTTTTCAAAACATACATAATATTTTATTTTCCAGAGATTTTTTTATTTTAATGTGTTAATTAAATTTTTGAACCATTTTTTATTTGTAAGTATTGATTTTATTTTTTAGCCATTTAGCCAAGTCTCTGTAGAACCATTTGTCTGCTAATGACATTTTCAATACAATGTTTTTGATCCCAGGCTTAGTTTATGGACTGTAATGTGAAATTAGGTACAAGTATAAGTCTGAGAGATTGTTCACCAAGTTACTGTGCTCTCTGAGAGGATCTGTAAGTATTAGTCTCTAACAAAATGTGGATCATCTACCAGGAACACTGCAAACAGCATGAGTTTCTGTAGTGTAGTGGTTATCACGTTTGCTTCACACGCAAAAGGTTTCTGGTTCAAAACCAGACAGAAACAGATTTTGCATGTTCTATTCATCACAGGTGTTTACTAAAGACCAACAAGGCTCTGTGGTGTCATGGTCTGTACTCTGAATCCAGGCATCTGAGCGCAAGCCTCGGTTGAAATTTTCATGCGTTGCATCTCACATCATCAACTTTGGAACCTCAAACTGAAACAAAGCAGAGAAGTTCAGTTCCTGTAGTGTAGTGGTTATCATGTTTGCTTTACATGCAAAAGGTCTCTGGTTTGAAACCAGACAGAAACAGTTTTTGTAGGTTATGCATCTCTTGGGGTGCAGTGAGACAATAAGAGTCTTCCTCTTTTGTGATGGTTCATTTGCCAATCGACTTCAATGTGGGCGTCTTTGAAATCGAAGCTACTTTACTTCAATTACCAATTGGCAGTTCTATGGCATAATGCTCAAGGCCCGCGGGCCACATGTGGCCCCCCAGCATTTTATAGGCTGATAATTGACTTAAAATAGGTTTTGAGCACGAATTGACTACAAACTACATCTCCCATAATGCATTCCCGTTATCTTGACCGACAACATAAAAAAAAAAAAATCGGTCATGTACTATTTTTATCCGTGAAATTACAATCATATTAACATCGGCTATTTAGTCGCATTTTATGCGGTTTAGTTAATATTCACCGTGAATCCAGATCCCATCACAAATTAAGAAGCTAAATGTATCTACATTTTTCTCGTAGTGACAAAAACCACCCCAATAACTTAATAAATTAAATTAAGCGACTTCACTTAAATTAGCATCACTTCCCCCGTTGGGGTCTTAACAACTTCCTCCTGGTTCCCATCTGCAGAAAAATCTGCGCTAATTCATCAGTCAGTTGGATCTGTCTGATCCAAACAGATCAACTGAACTCTGTCTGTGAGTGTTTTACCCTGTGCAGTCCGGATTATTTATTTATTTATTTATTTATTTATTTATTTATTTATTTATTTAGCGTGATTTCGCTTCTACGAAACGGACAGATGTTACGTCTGCAGCTCCTCCAGAGCGCCGCTCTCCTGGGTAACGTGAACCCAGAAGGTGCCATTTGTTAAAGCCGCTGGATGAGTTACTCCCAGCGGTTTCTAATTCTTTCGCAGTCCGCAGTGGTTGAGCAGCGGACTGCGCATGTTACAGTCTAATTAACTTTTGCATCGTCATTTATTTCCTCAAGATAAACTACCGGCTCCTCAAATGGATTAACACAACGTTGCATTCTCTTTAGTTTTCTCTGGTCTGTAATGGAGACTTGAATTTAACACGCCATTTCAACCAAAGGTTTGTAATGTGCTTCCTAACCATTTTTTATTTGTAAGTATTGATTTTATTTTTTTAGCCATGACTCTGTAGAACCATTTGTCTCTGCTAATGACATCTTCAATACATTTTTTGATCCCAGACTTATTTTATGGACTGAACAGACACCATTATACAGTTTGAACTGTTGATTTTATTTTTGAACCATTTTTTATTGTAAAGTGTTGATTTTATTTTTGAACCATTTTTTATTTTAAAGTGTTGATTTTATTTTTGAACCATTTTTTATTTTTAAGTGTTGATTTTATNAAAAATACTTGCGGTTTTGCAATGTAAACCAGACTAAGGCTCATTTAATATCTCTCGATACATGCAGAACTGAATAAAATCCAACTCTGCTTATGTCAGTCATAACCACACCTCCATTTTAAAAAGGCACCTTCCACCACGACCACAAAGCTTCCTCGGGACACAACGGTCCTCATCACTAGAAATGCTTATGTTGTTGCTGATGTGATTGAATCCACTGCACGCCGACAGTGAGAGGTCATTTTCTGCCTCGCTGCAGCATCAGGATGTACTGTAGACACCGAGAGACATGCGGAGAATAAAGGAGGAGAGGATAGCAGCAGGACGAGGCAGCAGAGAGGTCACTTTGAGAAATCTGGATGCAGGCACATGGCAAACAGCGTCTCTGGATCTCTTTCTCGCTCTAATCCTCTCTCTGATCCACCGACGCCTGGCCCAGTCATTTGAAGAGGGCCGCAACCCATGATCGCCGGGCCCTAATCTGAGTCCTCGGCCCGTCCGCAGTCCATCTCAGACGGCACCGGCTGGCTGCCAGGAGAGGAGTGGTAGGCTTAGCCTTCTCCAGAGAGACAGCTAGAGGTTGTCTCTACATGGATGGGCACTTCGCAGCTCAGCGGGGGCAGGAGGAAGGGGCAACATAGCAGCTGCTCTGGGCATATGGGCAGAATTCATTAAGTCTGGCAAAACACGCCAATTGTGGAGGCGTGTTACAAAAAAAAAAAAAAAAAAAAAAAAAAAAAAGGAAAAACGATGCATTTGTCTGACAGAGAAGCATAGAAGCACTGAGTCCAGATACCGGGACCCACAGAAGCATTCTGAGAGCACAAATATCCCGCGTGATAGCTTCATCCTCAGGCTTCAGAGTTGATGAAGTTGATTCAAGGCCCACCAAATGAAAAAAAATCTGGATCTGTTTGTGATGGGCAGAGATTGAGCTGTTAGATGCGTACACTGCGTGTCCTTGAGGACTTTCCTGAGCCTCGCCGAATGTCAAGAGACAGATCTCTGCCTCAGAAATAAACCTAATCACAATCTGTAAATGTTACAGCTGTTTCCCTAATAGACCTGGCTGCACTTTGGAGGCCAGCATCTATATTCACACACATGAACCAAAGGCAAAACTGAATGCTGATTTAGCACAGCTTGTTGAGGTATACATCATTCCACATATTCTTTTGATCAAACTGTTGTGTTGGTTTTATAAAATCGCTTTAACTTCTTGAGATTCTTCCTTCTGTTTGTACTTTGTTTCTGAAGGACTTGCTCATCGCTGGGTTTAACTGGTCTAAGTGAACGATGAGGTTTGGATGTGTTTTATTTTTCTCAATACAAAAAGGAAAAAAGAAAGAAATAGGGGTTCTTATTTTTATTAGCAACCATAAGCTTAAAATGAAAAGCAACAAAACATGATTTTTATTTTTAGTCCACACGTCATGAAAAAAGACTAATTTTCTCATCACTTTATAAAGTTGCAGCCGGCTTGATTCAGACTTCCATCCATGCCTTTTAATTCAGTAAAAGTGTAATGTATGCTAATCCGCCAGGTGTCAATAGGAACTCTGCTCCATGCATTTGAGATAATAGTGAAGAAGGGGTTGCTCCTATCGAAGAGCTGCAAGATAAAGTCAATGGCAGAGTCAATAACAATAAGGTTGTAGGCTTTAATGAGGAATGTTAATTTGAACACAATCAACTGGATTTCAGCTTAGCTGATTATCAACCTTGGACTTGTATGTAGATCCTGATAATGCTGCCAGTACAGAGAGGACATTTTTATCTGAAACCACTTCGCTCAAATGATGGCCTTTGGGCTGTTCAACTCAAAATAAATATAAAAACAAGAGACTCAACAGATCGAATGACAGAAATTGGCCACAGAAACAGAGAACTTTTGAAAAAGTTCTGAGACATCAAGAAATACTGCACATAAAGTTATGAAAATAAATTCTTACTAAAAACTAGAGATAAATGAAGTCACTGTCCGTCGTCTTCCGACTCCTGACTCTCTCCTTGATCCTGTTCCATCCTGAGCTCTGAGGACACCTCTGCAAACAGATGATCCCAGTTCCAGATCACATACTCCTGCCGAGCGAAAGTCGACGAGAACAGAGGGGTGAAGAAGTTTCAGAGAGCCGCACAAGCCAAGAAAGAGAGCAGAGGGAACGGGGGGAGCAAAGTATGGAGAAAGGGGAAAGGAGAGCGCAGGGCATTAATGTACACATCATAAATCTTGATTACCTGGGAGACAAGAGTGGCAACCTCCCCAGGTGCTCTACAAACAGCTGGACAGGCCTTCAGGGGGAGCTCACAGGCTATATTTACTAAAATCTCACTCACCTCTTTGAACTCTTGTTCTGGTGCTAAAACCTTGGAGAGCAACTTCAAGTCGATCTCTCCATCCTGAAGAGAGATTGCAGTAAAACCCCCTTAGCTTGCACAAACTGGGGTGATACAACACTGAGAAGACCACCTTGAAGAGAAGGGTAAACGGGGTAAAGATACATAAAAATAAACGTCCTTGACTTACTAAGGTTTGGAACGTAGAGAAATGTTTCAGATCATTGTCCAGATCACGGTAGGTCATCACTCGAGTCACCTGAATCCTGAGAAAGCCACAGGGGAAAATAAAATTTTTAACATACTTTATGCAAAAATAGCAAAGAAAGATTTTAAAGGGGACTTATGATGCAAAATTTGTATTTTGCACATTTTTGTACTTGC